TCATCGTCGTCGTCGTCCATTTGGTGATGGGGGTTTGATGGGTTCGTCTCCCATGGCGGAGTGTTCTCGAAATCGATATCTCGGGATCGTGGGGATGAGTTGCGGGACTCCGGATAGGAGTGGGTTTCTGAGTCTGTAAACTGGAGAGCTGGGCCCAAATGGATTTTGGGCTATAGAGAAGAAGTAGCCTTTGGGCTTTTATGAGGGCCTGGATTTGTAAGCGAATTTTGAGCAGGCCTTGGTCTCTCCCTTAATAAATGACAAAGAGTGAGAGTGGGCTTGGGCCAAATCTTGTTTGGAGGAGAGGCTGGCGTTATCCTAGGCTGCGCCTGACATTTGGGCTTTGTTCCTCAGCTGCTAAGATCTGCATGTAGCTGTCCATATATATATTTTTTCTTTTCATATAGATTTTTTTTTTTTTTTTTCATAAAACATGTATCTCTTTTTTTTTTCTTTTTTTTTTTTTTTTTTTTACAAAGAAATCGTAATAGCATCAAAACTTTTAATTAAATCTTTATTCCTTATTTTGGTGTGACTGAACTCGAAGTTGAATGTTCAAGCTGCTTACGTACCCCTCCAATGAAGAGATCAAGTCATAACGTAGTTCAAATGAGTGATGAATTTAACAGTGATTTTGATGATGATTTCGCCGTACACAGTTTATGCTCTTGCGGGCCAGGAGCTTTGGTGTCGCCTTTTATGCTCGTGCGGACAATGAGCGTTGTGTCTTGCAGTTTAGACTCTTACAGACAAGGAGCTTTGTGTCCTACAGTTTAGGCTCGTGCGGACAAGGAGCTTTGGTTCGTCAAGCGATCTGAGAGAGTCGTTCCTCGCAATCTTCATAGCAAGGAGCCTTGACTGAGTAGTTGAAGAAGTCTTCTGGGAAGATGTCACACATCGTGATGTGGATGGATGATCTTCGCGTCAAAGTTTCATTATCTCCAACACTTTCACATTGTTCTAGAGGTGAACATGAGCTGTTTTGCCCCCTTTCCCATTTGTGAGCTTGTGGAGAAGACATATGCTTTTTGTGCAATTTCTTCGGAGTGACATAAGTCCATCCTTCAACTTCACTCGGCTTGACTGGCATGTTTTTGGAGCATGCCCCCAGCGATTGAGGTGAAGATTTTGAGTTGACAGAGCCGGAAGTGATGTCTTCTTCCAGGATTTCGTCTTCTCGGGCATTCTCTTCAGTGCGGTCCTCTTGGGTTTGTTGCCGTGAAGATTGGCCGGTGTAGATGATGGTGCGCCTCCTTACCTTCAGTGGTCCTTTTGTGTCGACTTCCAAAGTTGCTTGGCGCTTCATCCTTGAAGGAATCAAGCTTTGAACATCGTCTTTTCCTGCTAGACTGTCGAGCTTCTCTCCCTTTAGCGTTGTCTTCCTGTTTCTAGAAGGCTTCTTAGTTTCTTCAAGTCTGTCCAAAGCCGACTGTTGCGGAAGAGATCTAGCTGTGCCGCTTTGTTTCTTGGGTTTTGATAACCTTTCAAAGACTGATCTTTGCGGTGTTGGCATCTCAAGCCTTTTGAAGACGGAATTTTGGTCTCGACCAATGATGCGATCAAGTGCTGCAATTCTAGGTTTTGAATAATTCAGCCTTTCGAAGACTGAAGTTCGAGGGGCGGGTTTAGGCTCCTCTTTTGGCCTTGTGGCTTGTGGTCTTGGCTTCCTCGTTTTTTTTGTAGGTCACCGATGTCCACCCTTTCTTATCACCAGTAGATGCATCTTGGTTGCTTGCCCCCGGTGATGGTTGTGTAGGAGGTGCCATGTGACTTGAACATTGACGGGAATGGTCATGCATGCTTCGGAGAGGCAAATGATCGAGTGATCCAAACACGATAGTAGTAGTGTGTACCGCAACCGTGTCTTCGAGGTCAAGTTCGATTTTCCCTTGTTGTGCTAGCTTCAGGATGAGATATTTCAGTACGAAGCATTTTTCCGTTGGATGACTGATGAAGCGGTGGAATTTACAGTATCTTGGGTTGTCGGTACGATTCATCTCTTCCGGCCGTCTGCACTCAGGCAAACTGATCACCTTCTTGTCCAACAGGTCTTCTAACATGGCAACCACATCAGAGTCGGGGAATGGATAAGTTTTCTCCTCAAGCTCCTTCAAAGTGCGTCTACGCATCTCTTGATCACGAAAGCCTTCTGCTTGAATCGCCTTGCCTCGTGTAGGGATTTTGACGGGAGCTGTGTTGACTGTCATTGCTTCTTTGCTGGATTTCCACGTAGCCTTCTCCACCTTTGGCCCAAGAACTTTGTCGTTCTTGTAGTCGGCGATCGGTTCCTTCTTCCCATGATGGGCGATGCTTAACTCAATGTCATGGGCACGAGTGGCCAATTCCTCGAAGGTCCGTGGTTTAATGCCTTGAAGGATGTATTGCAAACCCCATTGCATGCCTTGGATGCACATCTCGATTGAAGAGGTTTCCGAGAGCCTGTCTTTACAGTCGAGGCTTAGAGTGCGCCACCTGTTGATGTAGTCAATGATTGGCTCGTCCTTCCACTACTTTGTGCTCGTTAGCTCTAGCATGCTCACAGTGCGGCGGGTGCTGTAGAAACGGTTGAGGAATTCCCGTTCTAATTGCTCCCAGCTGTTGATGGACTCAGGCTCTAAGTCCGTGTACCACTCAAAGGCGTTTCCTTTCAGCGAGCGCACAAACTGCTTGGCGAGGTAGTCCCCTTCGGTTCCTGCGTTGTTGCAAGTTTCAACGAAGTGGGCGACGTGCTGTTTCGAGTTTCCCTTTCCATCAAATTGCATGAACTTTGGTGGTTGATAACCCCTCGGCATCCTTAAGGCGTCGATCTTCTTTGAATACGGCTTTGAATACAACCCGGATGTATATGAGCTCCCTTCGTACTGTGCCTTGATGGTGTTGGTGATCATCTCTTGCAGCTGCTGGATAGAAAGGGATCCCATGAGTGCCGCTGCTTGGTCTGGTTTCGGCTTCCCATCGATTTTCTTCACCGGGGGTTCTTCGTTTCCTCCAGCTCCTCCCTTTAGCGGATCATCCTCTGGGTCGGGTTTCTCACTATCCTGCGCCTCCAGTCGGTTGACTAATGCCGCGATTTGCAAGTCTTTTTCTTCCACAGTTCGAGTTAGTCTTGCGATTGCTTCATTCATTTGAGCAAGCTGTTCCTCGACTGAAGTTGCTCCAGCGGTCATGACTTGCATGGCTGAACTGCCGCTTGAATCGTCATCGGAGAGCATGGATTCGGAGTATTCCCTTGGTCTTTCCCCCCTTGGTGCCCTTAGTGAGGCTAAAGTGATCACAGGCTCATGCCCAGTGCACACTCGTTCCCCTGGCAGAGTTGATGCAGAGGTGAAAGAGGTGGCATAAGTAGCTTTTGCTTTGCTTCAAGTCGTGACACCCAACGTGACACCACTTGCGACGAGGGCGCCTTTGTTCTTTGCGCCGGTTATGGGAACAGCTTGAGCCTTCCTTGACGTCATTGATTTTGGAAGTGTGCTTATATTCCTTGAACGGAGGAAGAGATGAGAGGTAGAGATTGTCCCACTGGGCGTGCCAATTTGTGAACACGGAAAATTCCTGAAACGAAAGAGACAAGAACAACGTGCACAAACAAATATTTGTGTTTTAATGATTTTGAGTTACAATCTCTCTTAAATTTGATCCTCTGATTCGATCTCCGTAAGGTGTTGATTGGTGGATGTGCGATTGATCCAAGGGCCGTCGAGGCTTGATCTTGGATGAACTGTTGGAAGTTTCTTCAAAGGGTCGTGGGCTTGATCTTTGAAGGTGGATTTGAGCGGATCTTCAAGGAGCCGTTGGGGCTTGATCTTGAAGAACAGTGATGAACGTATCTTCAAGGGCTTTTGGGCTTGATCTTGAAGAACAGTGATGAACAGATCTTCAAGGGCTTTTGGGCTTGATCTTGAAGAACGGTTGGACGTGTGGATTTGTCGACGTTTGTTGATCCAAAGGGCCGTTGGGGCTTGATCTTGGATGAACGGATGATGAATGATGGTGCTTTCTTCAAGGGCCGTCGGGGCTTGATCTTGAATTGGTGGAAGTTCTTCAAGGGCCGTTGGGGCTTGATCTTGGAAGAACGATGAACGAAGAACGAAGAAGGATTTCTTGATTCTTCGGGAACCTGGATGCTTGAGAGCTTCGGAGTTTCAGAGCTTCAGAGCTTCGAGGTGTAATCTGAATTGGTCTTCCAAATGAATGAAATGGGCTTGTATTTATAGAATTTTCCAAGGCCTAATTTTGAATATAATATTCCAGATGAAATAAGTCGTTTCTGCCAGGTGTTGACACGTGTCCTATTTGATGACTTTTCCAACTCATTTCAATTTTCGTTGAGTCACACGCTACGTGTAAAATTTATGTAATACATGAGCGTTGACACTTTGATTTATTGGTCAACATTTATTTACCGAAATTTCGATGTCTACAATAACGACACGTGGCACGATGACATTGGATAAAAATCTTATCGAAATCTATGACCAATAATAGTCATTTTAGGTAAATGACACATAGCGCAACGAGAACGATTTAAAATATCTTATCCGAAATTACAAATAAATTTATTTAGTATTATTTTGTAAAAAAAAAAAAAAAAAAATTTTTATTGCCTATTGCCAGGGCTATTCAAGTGTAACAATGGAGATGCAAAAGACGGTTAATGTTCATTAGGGCAGTTACTGTTCACAGGATGGATTGAATAATTGATTGCCTGGGAGGACGGCTCCAAGGGTGAAGTTGCTCTAAAGAAGAGTGAAAACCCGCATCAATAAGAATACTTGTCGTGTTGGTCACTTAACCATGGTGAGCAAACAAATGTCCAATTTTTAAAACATCAGGTAGTTATTGAATGTTTTAACATATTGGAACCAATTTGGAATTATTCCTAAAGAAAAGATTCAGCAGTTATATGTACTTAATCCTAAAAGAATGTACGCAATTTAAATGTATTTGGTGGAGGTTTCGAAATAGGCCAAACCAAATCGAACAAAACTAATGCAATTTGGTTTTCTTTTTTTTTTTTTTGGTAAAAAGTTACTTTATTACCAACACAATATATTGTATAAGAGTAGGCCCAAATACTAATACATAGACGAAAAAAAAAAAGGACCTCTGCAGTAACCAATAGCCCAAAACATAAAAAGCAACGAAGAAAACCCTAGCAGCATCAAACAGCCGACACCGAAAGCCGCTTGCTCACCAACAAAAACAAAGGTCCCCAGCACACCCCTGATGACAAGCCAAATGTGAAACACATAGGCATAATGTCACACAAATTAGTGGCAGAGTTAGCTCACTAAGCCTGCAACACTCGACAGCGGTATTCTCCCAATGCCCAGATAGGGAATATGTTCCGGTATGCAGCATACGTGATCATACAGTTCCTGTTGAAGACACCCATAATTTCCTGCAAAAGAAAATATTAAAGAAAGAAAGATTAAATGTATTGGCAGCATTGGCATACAAATTGCGAGGAATCAATAAGATGTACATTTTATACCATCAGGTTTGTATTCAATTGCAACCTCATACAATATTTTTTTAAATATTTTAATCTCATACACTTATTTTTTCATTTCAATGTCATACATCCGTCTCATTTCTGTGTAAAAAAAGGTTATTACTGTCTAAGGCTTAAGTTGCATTGCACATTCTGCCTTGACATGGTTTAAACTAAGACCGCAGGTACCCCTGTCCGGTACACTAATCCCTCGCTACTTTCTTTGCCTTCACCCTAAATTTAGTATTTTAAAGCAGGAGGTTGTATGACATTGAAATGATATAATAAGTAAATGTATGAGATTGAAATGTTTTAAAGATGTCGTATGAGGTTGCAATTAAACACAAACTTAGTAATTTACCCAATATCATTTGTTCATATCCTAACATGTGAAAATCTTCTTGTTGGATACAGTATTCACTAGAAGAGTAAATTGTAGCAATGGTCCCTCAACTTTAATCAAATTGGAGCAATGGTCTCTCAACTAAAAATTCATTATCATTGGTCTTTCAACTTATCAAAATGTGTAGCTATAATCCTTTTCATCAATTTCGTCAAAATTTTGTCAAAATAAGTTATGTTGAAATAACTATTTATAAAATTAGGCTCCCTCAACTCATCAAAATGTGTAATTATAGTCTTTTTCGTCAACTATGTCAAAATTTTTGTCAAAACGAATTATGTTGAAATGATCATTGCTACAATTGGGTTAAAGTTAAGGGACTATTTCTCCAGTTGAATTAAAGTTGAGGGACCAATGCTAATGGATTTTTAGTTGAGGGACCATAGTTGCACGTTTTGATGAGTTGAAAGACCAATGGTAATGAATTTTTAGTTGAAGGACCATTGCTCCAATTGAGTTAAAGTTAAGTCACCATAACTACAATTTACTCTCACTAGAAATCCGAAATGACAAGAAAATGCAAAATGGTAGAGGCTTAGAGCACGTTTATGGAGGTTATGCATCTTAAATAGTACTAACAAACAACGAAGTACCTCTTGAGGAAAATCTCCATTCTCTATTTGAGAATTTATCAAAAATCTAGCCGCACGGTGCAACGGTGTAGGGTCTCTCTCAGCCTGTTCCAACAAGTACAACACCACAACAAGAAAAGTGCAAATACAATGAATAACAAGGAAAGCAATCAACATCTGGAAAGACAAAAATGGGGAGCAAGTCTTTTGGAGTTGATTGTTGGCAGTTTTAGAATTGTTTGGTTGGAGAGAACTGGTAGAAATATTACTGAAAAATGTAGAGGATTGGGATTTCCAGGGATAGGGCCAGATTTTGTGTGTGTTCTGGGATTCAGTGTCTATGAAATTACTCGTTTAGAGAGACTTCATTTCTTTTCTTAACAGGGATCATTAAAGCATGGATGTATTGTCCTCAGTTGTTAGAACTCAGCACTGAAGTGGCTTATGTTGTCTGATGAAATGCTGGTATTATACTGTGAGTTGGGAAGTAGAGGCTTTGTTTGTGTATTTGACGGACTGCTGATCCATTTCAGTGGTATTGATGTTAGTTCATTCTAACGAAACTATTTGTTCTCATCAAAAAGAATAAACACCTTAAATCAAAAGTTGCAGCACCAGAATAAGTTGAATAACAACCTACCAATGTACATGAAAGTATTTGGTTAAACTATATGCATACCTGGCCACCATCAATAAGAGCCAACATGGCCCATCCAGTATTGACCACGTGAGACCTATCACCCTCAAGATTTGTGTACACCTGTAAAGAAAAAGCAATAAGAACATTTGATGACATGAATCACAAAAAACCTACCAAAATTATACCTTCAACCAATTCAATATTGTCACCTCAGACAAGACACGTCCCATTACTATCAAGGTTACAAGAGTCTCTTTGTTGGCAAATGCAACAATATGTAAGTTAACATTATGAATAAATGTAAAAGGATGGTGCATTTTCGAAAACAAATGTTAGAAATATTCTCAACCTTGCTAACCTGTTCTCTTTCAAATCATTGTGAGAGTTTTACCAAAAGAAAAGGCAAAGCACCCAAGACTATGACTGTTTTCATGGCTACATAACCATACATTGATGATGAGGGAAACAAAAGCATCATTTAGATTCAGCATATAACGATAGACACACTACAAACGCATTTTATTTTCTTGCTTGTATCAGAAATAACTAGCAACAAGACAATATTTGGCCACATCAATTAAATTTTGGCCAAAGTATGGAAAATATCAAATTACTGGAGTAAAGATATATGTTATCTGAGTACAGTCAAGGTCATATCCCCATGCAACTGCAGGTGGTTAAAGCTTACAAGAGATAAGATAGGATTGACACGCTTAGCTCAGTGCAAACCATTAAAAGAACCAATAGAAGAAAAACCTAGTGTATTGACCAGGAAAGGTTAACGAATTCCCATTTTTACCTGTTTTCCAGCTTTATAAATATACAATACAAGAAGCACACCAAACAAAATAACTACCTAACATTAATTAATTAAAATTTTCAATTTAAAGGGATTAAGAGCTAAAATGAGGAATACAACAGAGTTTATAATTGAGAATTGATGAACTTAATAATTTATAGAAAATATTTTTGAGAAAAAAGAATGATGTAAAATCAATGGACCTTGCCTTGTTTTGACATGATAGATAACTCTCTGACCACCCACCAGAAGTAAGTTGTTTTGATAGCAGAAAATCACAAGCTTTCCGAATGCTAGAACTATTGTTGTAGTTCCTTCCAGCAGCCACCAACCCTTTTACCCCAAACCATGTACCATAAGTGAAGCAAACCCCCCACGAACCATACCTGTTCAGCAATTATAGTAACATAAAAAGCGTTCACATTGATTGAGCAAGATCTTGGAACTGATAGATCAGAGAAGGAGAAGCAGCTAGAAATAGCTTATAAAGTAAGAAACATGGGGCTAACCATGAACCATCAGATGCTTGTATCTTTTCAATAAACTCAACAGCTCTTTTGATACAGTGTTCTATTTCTTCTCGCCGATGACAAGGATATAATTTCTTAAATGATTCCAGAGCTTGAATAGAAGCTGAGGTGCATTCAACATAACTACAGAGACATGTAGTAAGTACTTAATTTCTAGAGAAAGAAAAATGGAAGTAGAAAAGAAAAGATAGAACTGATGCAGTTCAAGGTGGTGGTATCTTACGGATAATCGATTACAATGTCACCAAAGGTTTCAGCAGGGTTGATCAACTGGCAAATAAATGAAACAGTAAAATAGATTAGGTCTCTGTGATCTCACGAGGTAACAGTGAAAGCAAAGGTCTCTGTGATCTCACGAGGTAACATTGAAAGCAAAGGATTCTTATTTATATCATGCAATGAGTCCTGACATGCAATAGTGACTTCTCCAAGTTTCAAGTATTATTTAATAGAGAAGATGGGACTCCCCTGGCAAAGATTGGTGATAAAGTGCTAAGATAAGATGTCAACCACGGGGTTGTTGCAGGAAAAGCGGGTTGAGATTACCAATGACAAGAGCATGAACCACATAGATTGTAAATTTTTCTTGTACATTTTCGATTATTAATGGAGTGGTTTTCACTATCATTAGTTTACAAAAAACAGAACCTGTGTAAGGGGTTTGATAATATGCACCCACAAAATGAAGAAAAATAAGTTTTCCTTATCTTTCTAAATTATGTAAATATGGAAATAAGCACAACTGCATAGGCAGAGTAATGAAACTCCTTTCAGTCGCAATACAGATTCAAACACTTACGGAAGGAGTTATTAGATGGCAGTTATATTACTGGACACATGCTATACAAATTTTAGCAGAACCCACCAAAATAAAATGAAGAAAAGTGAATGACAATGGAGAGTCGTTAAAATGAGGCTACCTCCAACCAACTGTAAGATCTTGTGAGCTCATATGTTGCAAAACCACCGTCATTATTCTGCAATCACATTATAACAAATAGCTATCAGCGATTAAAACAAAACTTTCAGGTCATAAATCAGTTATTACAGAAAAAAAGCAACGATGAGTATTCATAGGAAATATGTAGATAGGGCAAGCTGCAGGGAAGAGTATTTATATGAAACCAGCATATGGGGGAAGAATGGAGCTTCATGATCAATTAGAACATTTCCCATTTTGATGTAATAGGTCCAAATAAAGACGGCATTGTCACACACATAAATGTTCTCCTGGTCACTAGGTGACAAAGAAATACATGCTCACTTGCCCTTGAATTTGATATCAACGTGGAGAAGAAAGGGATGCCCTTTTAATGTTTTAATCTCAACCTTTGATATCAAATCCAAGGGTGGGTGACCAACTAAGAGAATAGAACTCTTGTCACACATAGCACATGGCAACATACACTCTCTTGTTTGTATCCTTATATCATCGCAACTAACCGTCCACATCAGAATTTTAAACCAAATTTGTTTGTGGTTTCATCCCTCTCTAGACTTTCGTAATTAAGGGTACATGCCCATATAAAAACCACCACTTGTCTGGAGACAATAGGCATTAGAAACTATAGAAAAATATAGGTAAGGTTTCAGGTTGGTACAAGGTAGGATATTGATTTCAAATATGTAGTACAAAATTTTGCTGCTTCTGCTGATGATGATGAACTTGACACTATTGATACATTTATAAGATATTAAATCTAATGATGGATAAACCTAGCATAGAAACAGAGTGGAGCCTCTGATAGAAAGCTTAATAGATTGAGAACAGATATCTTGTAACCTTATGGGAGGACTGATGTAAATTACCCTTCTTTTGCCGTTGTTAATGTTGATGATCTTCAAGAGAGGAGTTTATGATAAAAGCTAAATGGAAATACAACAGCAATAGCAAAAAATTCTAAAAAATCTTTTAAAAAAATGACTACTGTGAAGTTTGAAAAGTTTCTTGTTCAAGGATTGTAATCATCTTATACATAATCACATGCAAGCAGCATACTTCACGCTTCTGACGACATCATTAAGAACATTATAAGGAGTTCTAGAGATGGCTTGGGTGGTAGAAAATTCGTACACTTATCTACTTCAGAGTTCAGACTATCATGGTCTGGGCTAACCTGTAATGAGAGTATGACATTGACAGCATCGTAAAGCCGGTTTGCATCTAGTGGTTCACCAACAATTTCAGATGGAATTTTTGATAATGATAGAACAGCCTGAAAGAAAAAAAAAATTAGAAATAGTGAACAATGAATAAGTAAATGCAGTGCATTTAACTGACCAACACTCACTTTCAATCCTTCAGCTGTGCAGTCTGAGATGGGCCATCCATGATCAGCAGTTGAGAAAGGCCAAGCACCCTTTGAAATGTGGCGATACCAATAGTCAAGATCACCGGGGCAATCTTCTAAAACCTTGAGAGAAAATAAACAGTCAATCATGGATATGAGGGGCCCATTAAATGTAACAGTATTAAGAAGAAAAAATGAACTCGGATGCGCAAGATCACCACCTGTGAATCTTTTATGTATTGATGTCCCTTTCTTAGAGTTGAACCAAATTCTTCTATAAGGTTGGTTGCGATAATTGCTTGAACAGAAAAAGAAGTGTCCCAAGCCTGGCTTCCATTATACCCCTGCAGTAAATTCATAACATCAGGTTACTTGGCAGAAAACTCGTTAAAAAGATGCTGACTCAAGAAGTGCTGTAAAACAAAGTCAGCATAATTGAGTTTATTTGCAGGAAGAGGGTATTAAAAATCGCAGACTTTTTTGTCTGGGTAAGGCTGCAAGCACTAGGCACTCAAAGCAAATATCTGGATAATTGAATAAGTCACACTTTGAGGCTATTAAATGTTCAAAAATAATTCACACTTGAGGCTATTAAAACTTCAAAAACTTGTTCAACTTCCTAGCAATTGTTTTTCGCATGATCATCACACGTATTTCTGTTTCCAGTATCAAATTATTGATGACTACCGAGTACAATTAGAAACAGCACTTATGTAGCAAGCTTTAGGATAAGCATGCTAAACAGCTGTAAAGTGTCAATGGATGGGACACATTCCAGAAATATGGACTGTTAAAAATAGTTCAAGGTATGATGATAGTATACAGACCTGCATTTTCATGCCATCTTCAGCAATCCATAGGTAATCATAGATTCTTGGAATATGTAACTTGAAAGCCTCTGAATTCGGATCTTCTGCCCAACAGCAAAGCATATTTAAAACCTGCAATCCGCATCAACCTCGAAACTCAAAAAATTGTAATTGACAAATACATATAGTCATATATATATATATATATATATATATATATATGTGCGTGTGTGTGTGTGTGTAAAAGGGGGGGGGGAATGTGAACATTAATAAAAAGACCAAAATGAATAACTCAAAAGCAGTTAAAAAAGTAGTCCAGACAAAGGACAAAATAGATTAAAAATCAGTGAAAGCATTTTAAGAACCTAACTAATAAACCATTCTCGACTTAAAATTTTAATCACAGTATTATCATCATAACTAATACAAGTTTGGCATGGACGAATAGTGTGTGGGATAAAGGGACGGAATGAGAGGAGTTCCTTAACTTGCTACAGAGATAGGTGAGTAAAAATGACGATCGGGTGGATGAAGAGCCCCTCCATACCCACTAAAACCACTGGGTTCATGGTGGAATTGGTATAAATCTAGACAAAATTGTTAACTGAGACCAGTAAAAGACTATATGCAATCTTTTAAAATAAACTATTCTTCATCTCTCCTTCCTTTCTACCCAACAAGAGGAGAATACATTTATATCCATCTCTCTTCCTATCCTCTTCCCATGTCTACTATCATTTTCCTCCTTCCTACTCTTCATCATCTCTTCCAAATGTAGTATAAGTGGCAGCACTAAAAGATTATATTTGCTCCCCTTAACAGACAGAAACCTAAACAGTGTACGTAGTGCCAAACCACTTGGATACATACCTTATTCACAGGTCCAATGCAAATATAACGAGTATTCTCATCTTCATAATGTATGTGCTCAATTGCAGTGCGAAGAGCCTTTTCTCTCAACTTCTTCCCAGGCCAATGCATTAAGATTGGTTCAACAGCCATATGAAGAGAAGACCAAAGTATATCTTGTACAAGGGGGTGTGGATAGTACAAATCTTCCTGCAAAAAAAAAAAAAAAAAAAAAAAAAGAATTTTCTTAAGAAAAATTCGGATCAATGTGAATGTATAGATAGATAGTTGACCGTATTCCAGTATGTGGAACAACATAAGTATGCAATCTGCTGACTATAATCCACTAAGGTATTTTAGAACACATTCCTTTATTACTGAAAAGAAAGAAATGAATTTTCTAGTGAGAAAAATTACAGTCAATGTGAAAGTACAGACAGTTAGTTGACTTTATCCCAATTGATAGAACAATATAAACATGCAATCTGCAACTGCTGACTGTAATCCACTAAGGTGTTTAGAACACATTAACTGAACTTTGCTCGATAATGTAACCTTATTTTAATAGAAAACATAGTGATATATAGTAATAGGTAGAAATATGAAAATGATAGACACAACAATAATAAAGCTATTATATTCAACCCTTCTTTCAAGCTGTTAAAGAAGGAGATTATTATTACTGGACAAATTTGTATCACATCAGATGTTAGCTCTGATTTGAGAACAGAGTTAGTTTGACCAACCTTTGCACACTGGTTGCGTGCCTCATTCCAATCTATTTCATGATAGGGGACATTAAAAAGTTCTTTCCTCAAAGACAAAACTGTTGGTGTGATTGGGCCAACAAACCTCTTCCCATATAGGTATGACATTGGCAAATAGACCATGGCAGTGACACCACATCCTTCCTGCAGAGTAAAATGCAATCATTCCTCTGGTGGTGTCTACTAGACGATCAAAGAATTATTCATGCATGCCACAAGAAACATTTATTTGAACTTTTACAGCAGAAACTTCATTTTAACTAAACGATAACCACACTAGTCGAGAATGATGGCATTTGAAATCTCATTATAAACTAAATTTTGAGAAGGGAAGAAAGCCCACCAGATACAGCATATTTTATTTATTGTAAGAGTAAGAATGTAATATCACTAGCAAGGTACTTAAACAATCAACCAGAGGTCAAACTTTTCAAAATTAATGCTGATGAAGGAAAAAAAAGCCTCAGAATGAAGGTTCAAATGTATGCTATTGAATTAATATGACCACCTAAGCTGTGTTGATTACCATAGTTGATTGTGCATCACAAGTTATGAGGTAATTTTTCTATCAGCCAGTAACATGTTAGAGAAAATACAGAAAACGCCTATTCTTTTGTTTCCCTCTCTGATAAGAAAAAATACTTATTCTTCACAAATACAGAAACAAATACATACAGGAAAAACACTCATCCGCGGAGAATGAATAAAAGGCAAGAACCTGGATGAATTGGGAGCATATATGGAAGAAGCCATATCTCAGGGGGCAGGGGATTATTGCCAGACCATTCAAATGCTCCAAGTACCTATTACCACCCAGCAATGCTACAATGATTAAAGAATGCACTAGATTGTGTATACAAAGAATTCTTTCCAGCACAAACTAATAAAAGATGTGAAGGTCAGTTAGACCAACAAGATGAAGGTTAAGTTCTGAACTGATAACCACATTTTCCCCCACGATGTAATTGCAGTAGCACCACCATGGTCCAGAATCCACCTACGCCCACTCTCCATGGCTCCTTGTCCATCTTTATTTCCTTCACCAAGCAACCTTAAAGTAACATATGTCAAGACACTGCCAAACATAGTACTTGGGCCCTCAATGTGCAAGCCCCACCCACCATCTTTATTCTGCAATTAAACATCTCTAAATTAACAAATTTTTCATCCCTCGTGCAGAAACGCTGGAACACGAGACTTCTGATAAACAACCAAAAGTTGAGCAAATGAGAAGGTACACCAGTGAAAAGGCGCATATGTCACAAATTTAAATCCAAAGTGAATCCTTGCCTGATGATTGTAGAGGTATCGACAGATCTCCTTCTTATGCTCATCTGATAAGACTGCATTCAATGCCCCAGTGATAGACAAAGCAATTACCTAATCATTTGATGGGAAAAAAGTGTCAGAAATCACTGATTATTTTTATGGAGTAAGAATCAAAGATTTTATTGCCTCCACTGTACTATGTTCCTGAAGGCTGAGACAATTGATCTAAAATACAACCCACTACATTTTTGGATGACCTGGAATATTTTTCACAACTTAAGACTTCCCATTAGCAGCATCAGCACTTACCAGGCCCGGGAGTAGAAACATAGGACCTCCATAGTCCCCAGGCCAATGTCCATCATGGGCTTGAAGTGTTGAATGGTAACTTATACCCCTTTTTAATGTATTTGTCACTGTCTTCTCAGTCACATCTTCTGTGTCTTTTACTTTGACCTGGGGTAAAACAGCAGGAACTGGGTTCTCCTTGGAAAACTACAATTTGGTGACGAAAGATAAATAGTTATAGTCAGTGAGATTATATAAAAATAAATTAATATAGATAAATGTTTGAACATTCACAATCTCATTCCCCTTTCCCCACAGAGCAGAGCAAAAACAAAAAATAATATATCATATGAACAGTCTCCCATGAAGCTTAAACCAACTCACAATCTGACTAACATGTAGAGCAACCAATATATTCAACAATACTCTCACATGTTTTTTTTTTATCTCAAAAAAGATGATAGTCTGTGATGATCTGAACTTTTCCAGTTGAGAGATTGTAACAGAAAAGTAATCAAGGAGGCAGCTTCATTTTCTGGATGAGTTAAGTAGCCAGTCATAAATCTTGACCAGTATTCTAAGCATGGAAGGGTAGGAAATTTTAGATTCTATCTTTATATGGGAGATCTCTGAACCTATTTTATATCAGAAAACTTAAAAGCATAATTATTCGAATAATATTGGACAAGATATCAAAGGGAAATCTGTGTAGAGGAGTCTCCTACTGTTCTTAACAATTCTCTCGATGCAACCCACAAAAGATAAAAAAATTTAAACCCAAGGCAGAACACTAAAATGTTCTGAATGGAAATGCAAAGGTGAAGGCTTATGATTGCGTTTTCACTAACCTTAGAACCCAAGTCATAAGACTCATAACAATATCACTAATAGCAGTATATTAAACAAAAAGAAACAATTTACCTCTAGGATAAAAGAGAAGGTTAAATTATTCCACCTATTTAATGAAAATCATTATGCTTCTATTTAACGAAAATCATTAGAGTTTAGGCAATGCTTCTAGATAACCAGAAGTACTTGCGGTAACGTGTGGTGAAAAATATTTAAAAGTACATTCTGCAAAAGCACTTATGGGCAGAAGTGCTATCTGCAAAAGGGGCCCTTACATACTAGCCCTTCACATTTAAAAATAAAAAAGAAGAAAGGTAAATGGTTTACAAGATTTATCATTGACTACGAGTAGATAACCTGATATTGTGCAGGGTGCTTGCTTACTGCTATATTAGCTTAATTTAGTGATGCAAACTTTACAGTATAACCGATTTCAGAATGGACAACACATGCTAGTTTTAGAGTTGACCGCTTCTAGTTGCACACTGGCTTGCACTTGTTCAGAGTTCACGTTGGTAGTTTTGAATTCCAGAAGAGCCTAGCTCAAAACTCAAAAGTAGTTCAGAACTCTTTTTCAATGAAACTACAAACGAAATGGCACTAAATTGATGTGGAATGCAGGGCTTGTCCTAGACTAATTGGATATTGATAAATATTTCATAAACAAAATAATTGCTAAAGGAGTCAGCAGCATACAAATAACAATTAAGCTGGGAACAGTAGAGAGCGGGTCAAAAACCATCTGTAGAAAATGCAAATCACATGTAAACATTCAATGCTTAAACAAACATTATCATAATTGTTTATCCTCAATTTTTCTATCGTTGATTCTAAGACTGACATTTTATGAAGCAATTAGATTATCAAAGATTATTAATAAAGACAAATCCCCACTTAGTTTAGAAAACTCATCCAAAGGAAGACAAGACAACCACTTTAGGAACTCTTCTGGAAGACTCAAAGTCTCAGAGTCTTCGCCGCGACCACGATACTGTTAGTCTGTTATTACGTATCTCATCAAAACAAAAATACCGTGTGACACAAACAAACCCGCTACCAATTAGCTTTCCAACCCCACCAACTTCAAAAACAAAAAAAAAAACCTCAAGGACTTCCCTTTCTCCACCAGTCTCACAATTCAGTCCACCACGCAATCCCTTATTAACCCTATAACCACCAGTCAACTTCAACTCTAACTCCCTAACAGGTAATATCACAACAAACAATATAAAATCCATACATTCACAATCAAGTCTTCAACAAAATACTAGATGCATAAACCGAAACCAAATAGCGTAAAACCGAAGTAATCGATCTCAAAACAAGCAGCAGAGCTTTCGTTTTCATCAAACCAACAACGCAATCAATTGAAGAAAAACATTCAGAAGTAAAGAAGGACCTGAATGCGCATGAGCAAATCGGAGCTGTGCTTCTTAACGAACCGATTATTACTGTAGTTCTCGCGAGCTCTCTCGATCTCGAGGAGCTCTTCGGGGGTACCGAGCTTGGGATCGAACTCCCAGACTTGCCTGCCCACATTGTTTTTGAGTGTACGCAGCCATGGACTCCCTCCCTCCGCAATCTTCAGCTTCCACATTTTCTGTTTGGTTCCCGGGAAAATATAAAAACCCAAATGCCAGAAACGGAAAAAACTAAGAGAAATGCAGCAATAATTCGGAAAGTCGTTTGCTTTTTTGGGATATTTGAGATCCAAAAAAGAAAGCTAGAGCTTACCAGATTGCGACTTTCTCAGCAGAAAGTAGCGAAGAATTGCATGGTGCGTCCAATTCAATTAACACAAACAAACAAGTCTCTCATTCTCTCTCTCTCTCTCTCTCCTACTCACCGAGTGACTGCGACGTTTTGAAGGAACTTGAAGGATGCATGTGGCAGTTGGGAATTTTAAACAATTTGGATTCATGGCCGACAAAAACACCGTGATTGTTTTGGGATGCTTTTGATAACAATTATAAAATTCATGGTAAATTAGAATCCACAAAAGATAGGAACTTTTGGATTTGCGTGAATTTTAAAAAATTGAGATCTTTGTTGCAGACATAATTTACTGAACAATTATGGAGGCTATAGAGAGAGGGGTGCGGCAATAGGTAGAGAGAATGAGAAAGATGTATAATTGTGAGTGTGTTCTATTATACTTCATTGTACCTTTATTTATAGTAGTAAGATAGGTAAAATCATTTCCCTTTATAATTACAACTTTTAATAGGCAATCAACTCCTAATAGGAATATAAGAGTTATTCCAAGATATACTAGGATTTACACAATCACATTCCTAATCTAATAGGAATGCAACACTCCCCCTTGAGTGTGTAAATACTCAAGTAAATGGCGCATCAGGTCTTTAGTAATGAAACAAGTATAGTTAATGAAGTCGTCGGCACAATAAGTGAATGCGAGTCTCAAATTAACGAAGAATGCATAAAAAGTACAACTTACAAAACCTCACAATGGTAAAACTCAAGGTGGGAGAAAATTCATAGACTAAGGAGAAAAGTGAGAAGTTGCATTAAGTCAAAACTATATGCCTTTTGGACACAAGTAGAAGAGCTCACAAGGGTATGATCAGCCCAGGATGGGTGCCTCGTTAAAACCTAGTTAGGTAACAAAAACCCAGTGGGAAAAATGCTCCTAATCATAGAGAAAAAGAGTACATTAAGATCAAGTGAGTATACTTCTGGATACTTCCCCTGAGTTTGACATAACTTCCAAATGAGAACTACAAGCATTGCATATGAATAGTTAGGCATACCAATTCCTCGGACAAGCTTCTGGAAGGTTGACTTTGGCAGTGACATCGTGTAAAGGTCGGCAAGGTTGTTTGGGATAGGCTTGCATGATTTCAATCTCATGATGCGTTGCTGATGTAGATGTGGACGCAATATGTCTTGGTGTTGACTTCGTTGATGTATCATGGCTTAGTCGGGTTAATACATGCGGCATAGTCTTCATGGATTGTCATCGGGACTCAACGATGGATGAAAACACAGCAAGTACTTTGAATATGTTCAACAAGAACTCCTAACCATGTCTCACTTGTGGCATAGTGAAGTAAGGTGAGTCTTGAATCGACTATGAAAATAGAGTCGTGTCGTATCTTTGCAAGGAATGATATAGAAAATCAATTTCCTTAATGGGCAGGCTTCACAAAGTGTGCTTGTAGGCACAAGATCCTTACTTCGAGTAAAGAGATGCGTTGTAGCATCATTGTTCGACCTAAGTGTCCCAAAAGGTCGTACCAAAACAAGTAAACTGCTCAATCACCCGGCTCCAGGCCGGCCATATGTGTCATGTGCCCCAGTTTGGAGACAACCCATTGGCCCCAAATGAAAGCTTCAGGCTCATTTGTGGAGGTGGTGCAAAGATATTTCACTTTATTTTCTTCAGTGGTTTCATTTATGATCATTGTCATCTCGAATATCCTTAAAAACTCAACGTCAAGGAGAATTTAAGGTCCCTTAAATGGTGATTCAGTATCATTCATACAACGAGGAGCGTGCCAATGCTCTTAATCAGGTTGGATAGACCTGAAGTCGTTGTTAGAGATGTGATTTAGGTGTAAAGTTAGTGTGCGTAGTACGCATTCATCCAGACAACTAACTTTCCCACATTCTTACCTAATCACGTATTTAATTGAATCGGTCACATGTATTAAGAAACATGATTCAATTAACTCATATTCGTCCATAAGTAAAACATACACCAAACTTGAATCCAAGAATATGGAAAAATGTTCACAAAGTAAATAGTTTACTAAGGGGATTCGGCCAACAAGGTCATCCATGTTAAAATTCTGCTTTTCCAACGATGTTTGGTGAAGCAAAATTAGTCTCACATATTGACTATTAGAATGGTACTCCTTAACAACATTGGTAGGGGCACAAACATGTGCATAACCAATGATCTATTCCATCGAGACAGAAGTAAATTCTGCAAGGTTGAGGTTTGGGAATATTTTCCTTTATTCTTGAAGTTTTAGGTCGTAGGTACCAAGGATCATGCTTTGGGCATGATGCCATACCTTGGCAGGCCCTAATTCTACCATATGTTGTAAAAACAAACTCGAAATTGGATTGTGAGAGAATATGCCATTCGGTGTCTCCTTATCGAAGCAGTGCATCACCATTCGATAGGTTTTGACCGAACTAGGTTGAGCAATTCGATAGACTCCAGCCGAACTGGGTCCATACATTTCTCTCACGTTTGTGGTAGTAATCAGATCTGAGAATTTGATAAATTTCTGCTATCTACATTGCTACTTCAAGGGCAAGTTAGAAATAAGGAAGGATAAGAAAAGTATTCTCCAGTCAAAATTCGATCGAATTTATAAACTTCAGAATCGTACTCATTCATGGACGTAATCATAGTGTGCTTCAGGCAATGTTTTTCATGATTAGACAGTCTGTAGGAGCAAGCCAAAGAGCCATGAAATCCGTTTTGAGAGGTACTTCCATTTGTAATGCTTCGGGCATAAGTCTTCGAGTGAAGATCATGGCGGAGGCTTATTCAGCTCTTCCATGCCATTGTTAGCTTTAATGGTGTCTTAGCTTCTTGATAGTCAAATGGACGTCTTGTACCCCACATAAAGTGGTTTTTATTAGAAAACGTCCAAATCAAGAAAATCAAACTTGTGACGGTTCGATAATCCACTGAATTGGAGGGAACAATATTGTGATTAGTGCTATAGGAATGAATCATCCATAAGCATCAAAGTTAGAACATTCGAGTTCTAAGCCATCGTTTTCATGAAAAACATCGGGTTTTCATGGGTATATTGTTTTATGAAAACTTTGGGTTTCAAAGGCACTAAATTTGAAACTATAGGTTCAATTTAGTTTATGAACGTTTAATTCATAAAAGAGAGGTTCCTGCAAGAACACATAATACAATATACAACTAAGTGTAGTGGATTTGAGTTTCTTCAGGAACTCAAGTGTGAGTGCTTCGGGACTACGAAAGTATGTCAATGGTTCAAAGTATAAAAATAAATTATTGAATCGTTAATGTCCAAAAGTGATCTTCAGGTCAATAATTTTGGATTCATTATCAGATTAATGGACTGCAGGTCACTTTTAATTAATTTAATAGATCGAGACCATTCGAAGTCGATCGTAGAAGCAAAAATAATAATAACATTCGGGTTAAAATTATTTAAAATGCTAAATAATAGCATTGGGTCGAAAATACCATAGCCTAAAAGATAGGGCTGGGTGCCGTGAGCCAAAGGAGGGGCTCGAGTTGGGTATGGCTGCAAAAGTAGCCCACGGAATGGTCTTTAGGCCATGGGCCGAGAGCATGGAGCCCAACAGCAGCAGCAGCTAGCTCTTTGGGCTAAAGAAGGGGCACGGATCAGACCCAGCGAAATGCTAGCCTGCGGGTTGGGTGCGAGGCAACTTAAGCCCAGCAACCAAAGCTGCTGGCAAGCAAGTTGAGATTGGGGCGAAGCCCAGTTAGTTCACGGGCCAAGGTACACGGGGACAATGGGCCAAAATCTGCTGGTTTTGCGCTTAAAGACTGCAAGTCCTATAAACAGAGATAGGCCGAAAGGCCTAGTAGTTTGGATTGGCGCATCAAAGCCCTAGGGCTACTGCCTGAGGGGTCCAAGGTGTCCGGTGGTGGTGCCGCAAGTACCCATATTTTTCGACAGAATTAGGGTTTGAAAACCCTAAATTTCTTCTAATTTATTTTATATAATTTGACTCACAAATTCCACATAGCAAATATAATTACATAGTGCATGAAACAAATATATATATATATATATATATTGACAAATATATGAACATATACAATATATATATCGGAAGGAAAATATAAATATAGGGGGTTCATACTGTTGGAAATGTGCCCTAAAACCAATCATATGATGATACTTTACGGACATTTCAAATGTTAAACTAATCTAGTTTAACATATAAAGGGCAAAGATTATTGTTTGAGCCGTCTCATATAAATGTTATATGCTTAAACGATAAAGTCCAAGGAATATGTGATTGGGAGAATGCAATCTAATGAAGTTAGATTAATGAGACCATTCTTTCGTAGACACATCCTAAATGTTCCTGATCATAGGATTACCAATTAGGCATTGACAGTCCGTTAAGATCAGTACGTACTGTGTCTTCTCTCAGGGAGAGTGACTAGTCTCGAGTCATTGGTGTGTGTGACATCAAGACAAGTACGTAGGTGCTCAATAAGAGAATGAGTTCACTGAACGTGATCAACGAAGAGTTCTTATATTCCATGTCACATGAGAACTCATGGTTGGGATAATGCAAAGTAGTCCTTTGACCTGAGGCATCACAGTTGTCTTGTGGTTAAGTCCTTAATCTTTGATTATGTCTAATTCACCCCTTAGGGGTGTCACGACATCGTTGGGGTTAAGCCACTTAGCTATGGAGACAAGTAAATGCGCAACAAGGGATCTCTAACCTTCAAACAGTTGAGGGAGAATACTCTATGATATGATTTGGAATCTCTGGCCAGAGTATGAATGAGATTGGGGAATGCGTTCCAAATCACATTCAAGGAAATCATATAAGCAAACGATTCACATTGGATAGTAGACATGAGTAAATAAACTATCATACCAAACAATGTGGTCAAGAGTATTAGATTAGAGAAGGACCGTATTGCATTTGTAATCCCGAACTGAATAGGTTCTCTAACCTCTTCTGATTAGCTTGGGTAACCATGACATGCTGCTAGGCGTCAACCATGGTTTGTGGAAGCCCTATACGTGTATAACCACTAAAGGGAGAATTGAAAATTGTTTCAATTCACAATCGATGTAAAATGGTTTTAATCGCCCACTGCCTCGCTAAAAGGAACCTAATGGATCGCACACCATAAAAGGTGGAGATT